CTTTTTTGCCAATCACTTTTGTGTAGATAGAGCGGACTAAACTGAGTCGAAAAGTCCTCTACCATTTTGCAATTTTCGCAATAGTCAACAAGATATTAATTACTAAAAATTGCAAAATATTGATCTTGAATAATTTTTTCCTCAATTCAATTTTACAGAAAAACTGCAAGAGAAAAATTATTTATTTTCTTCTCATAAAGTTCTGAGAATTTTTTTAGAATTTTTTCAGAATTTTGTAATACTGTATTTTCTCATGTTGATAAAAATAAGAAAATGCAGTACTAAAAAGTTAATAAAAAATTTTCAGAACTTTATGAGAAGAAAATAAATAATTTTTGTCTGTTGCAGTTTTTCTGTAAAGTTGATAGTATTTGAGTAAAAAAATATTCAAGACTAATATTTTGAAATTTTTAGTAATTAATATCTTGTTAACTATTGCGAAAATTGCAAAATGGTAGAGGGACTTTTCGACTCAGTTTAGTCCGCTCTATCTATACAAAAGTGATTGGCAAAAACGGTCGGGACACCCTGTATATATACTGAATATAAAACTTATAAATTAAAAACATAACATATATACGAAAACATTAATTATTTAAATCGTGTAAGTATTTATCATATAACAATTACTATACGTTGTAAAATATAGCAACAATATTTATATATTTTGAGAATTTTGCACGCTTTGCAGATCATGTACAATGAATTTTAAAAAAGCACATTTTTTTGTATTTTTATACTGTTCTTTTCAATTACGTCATTATATGAATTACTGTATAAATTTCTATAGAAATCAAAGCCTTAAACGGTCTAGCTGGATCTTAATGCTTGTATGATTCTTATGTGAATTTATATACGTATGTAGTCTCCAGAAACGCGCGCCGAAATGATTTTTCGGTCTTGAAACGCTAACTATTAAACTACCGCAGTAATATCACGAGTTAAATTGACTGGTAATTTAACAAATTTTTGATGCTTATTCGCATCTTCGAAACGATCTTAATAATGATGAATAACATATTAAAATCTGTAAATAATTAATTCTTATTGCGAAAAGTATTACCTCGGCCGGGAGTCGAACCCCCCGGATTTCTTGCATACCGTGCAAGCACTGCAAGCGTCCTAAGTCTTTAGACTACCGAGGCCTTAGTAATATTCTTCGCAATAATTAGCATATGAAGGAACAACGTCTTTTTAGGCGACGTAAATAAATAATATAATATATTATAAGACCGTATATGTGATAACACAAACTATAGAAATCAAAGCCTTAAACGGTCTAGACTCTAGCTGGATCTTAATGCTTGTATGATTCTAATGGGTTCGACTCCCGGCCGAGGTAATATTTTTCGCAATAAGAATTAATTATTTACAGATTTTAATATGTTATTCATCATTATTAAGATCGTTCCAAAGTTGCGAATAAGCATCAAAAATTTGTTAAATTGCCAGTCAATTTAACTCATTGAATGATATTATTGCGGTAGTTTAATAGAGTTAGCGTTTCAAGACCGAAAAATCATTTCGGTGCGCGTTTCTAGGGACTACATACATAGTATCTGGAGACACTGGTAGTGTCTCGGCGCTAAGCTGCGCGAAGCGACACTGCCGTGCCTCCTTTACGCGAACCGAC